TAGCCTATGAACCAGGAGGTCAAGGTTCAATTCCCGGTCAAGGCACATGCCTGGGTTGAGGGCTTGATCCCCAAAGTGAGGCATGCAGGAGGCAACCGATCAATGATTCTCTCTCATCATTGATGTTTCCATCTCTCTCTTCCTCTCCCTCTGAAATCAATAAAAATAAATAAATAATAATCTCAGTCCTCTCTTTTTTCCACCGGAATCATTTCTAGATTTCTGTCTTTGAGCTTGCTAATTTTCTGTTTCATATGATATTCTATATTTCCAGTGCTTTTCAATGCATTCTTCATTTTATTTGCGTTCTTCAGCTCCAGAAGTTCTGCTTAGATTTTTTTAGAGTTTTGTTATTGGTAAAATACTTCTGTTCATTAATTTTATTGCTGTGTTTATTGAGGTGCCTTTATGAGTTTTATTGTATCTTGTTTAGTTTGCTCATGACTGCTAATTTGAATTCTCTATCATTTCAATTATAATCTTCCATTTTGAGTTTAATTCTGTAAAATTGTCATTTTCTTTTTGATACTGTGTTACCATGGTTATTCCTGGTACTTGATAGGTCCATTTCTGCCTGTGCATTTGAAGTAGTGAACATCTTTCCTATTTAGGTACCATTTTGATTTGAACAATTCAGCAGCTTGATAAGTCAAGGTATTTCTTTTGTTTTCCAGTAAGTGGTGCTATAGCGCAAGTTTTTGTTCTTTCCTGACCAATGCAATTGGGGGAAGAAGCTCAATTTTTGACACCCAAGATGCTGTTTACCTATGTCATCCTAATAAATTTTTAAAAATTAAGATTGATTTAAGCCTATGATTGTTATCTAAATCCCCTTACCAACGATCGGTTCATGGGTGGGCATACGACCCAATCAGGGCCAATGTCATCTGTGGGAATATCTACTGGTAGAACAGGTAGTGCTCCTGGGAATGATTGTTCTACCTTAACAATAAATATTTGAAGGGCTATAGATAATGAGATCTTGTAATTAGAGGGTCCAAATACATTAGCTTCTAAATAATTTGATAATACTGCATACATCCTTCTTTCTTTTGCCATTATTTAAAAACTCCTAAAATAGAAGAATAGGGGGGTGGGGGGAGAGAGAGAGAGAGAGGTTGGAAGGAATATCCCTTTTCTTCACTTGCAGGTTTTTAGAGTCTTTTGTGAAGCTTTACAATATTTGAAGTTGCTAAAGCCATTTGGTGACTGAGACATATGGTGTTGCTTACATATCAAAGACAGTTGAACATAATAATGGAAAGTGTCCTTAATGAAGTCATTTATTGAAATAACCAATAGTGTAATTGGCCTACCTAAAGATTTGTTATGTGAAAAACACATATCCCCTTATTGTTGAGTCTGGCTTTCTGTTCCTTATAAACAAAGGTAACATTACCCCAAATCGCACCATTTCTAACATTATTTCTCAGGAATCTGTTTGGCCATTTAACTGACGGAGAAGAGGTACAAAGTTCAGAGAGACCTGGCCATGGCAAAATTCACAATTTCTTTTTTTAAAAATATATTTTTATTGATTTCAGAGAGGAAGGGAGAGGGAGAGATAGAAACATCAATGATGAGAGAGAACCATTGACCGGTTGCCTCCTGCACACCCTCTACGGAGGATCGCACATCCCCTATGGGGCATTGGAGGATTGCACACCCCCTACTGGGTATGGGCCCCGCAACCCGGGCATGTGCCCTTGACTGGAATCGAACCCGCAACTCTTCATTCTGCAGGTTGACACTCTATACACTGAGCCAAGCTGGCCAGGGTCACAATTCCTTTTTGAAAAAATCCACATTTGAATTCGGTGATTCAACTTGAGGTAAAAAAAGAGAAATTGCATGTGAAATGCAATCATTAAGTTAGAGCTACCCATATTAGATCATTTGTTCATTCTCTACTTGGATTACACAGATAATCTGAAGAAATTTAGAGTTTAGGATTATAAAATCCTGCCTCTCCTCATTCCAACGTCAAAAAAAAAAATTGGTTCCTAATACATGACATATTCTTTCAACCTTATCCGCTTTGCTAACACTGTTCTTTCTGTGTGTAATGCTTTTCCTACTTATTTTTTCCTACTAATTATTATTCATCTGATAAAACTTAGTTTAGACATCTCTTTCAGGAAGTCTTTGGGAACCTCTATATGGGCTAGGAGTATTTCCTTTGTGTTCTTACAGCGCTGTGTGCACACCTCTTTCATAACGTAACACTAACTTATATTGAATTTATTTGCTCACAAATTGTTCTCTTAGAGTCCAGCGGTTCTCAACCTGTGGGTCGTGACCCCTTTGGCGGTCGAACGACCCTTTCACAGGGGTCGCTTAAGACCATCCTGCATATCAGATATTTACATTATGATTCATAACAGTAGCAACATTACAGTTATGAAGTAGCAACGAAAATAATTTTATGGAGAGGTTTTTCCAAGATGGCGGCATAGGTAAACACCGGAGATTGCTGTTCCAAGATGGCATAGGTAAACACCGGAGATTGCTGCCTCGCACAACCACTTCAAAAATACAACTAAAAGACGGAACGGACATCACCCAGCAGAACAGGAAGGCTGGCTGAGGGGAAATTCTACAACTAGAAGGAAAGAGAAAAGCATACTGAGACTCAGAGGAGGCGCAGTGCGGAAAATACAAAGGTGCAGAGGTGCGTGCGGAGCGGTGGCTGAGGGCGCGGTTGTCTGTTTCAATCCGGAGGGAGTCTCAGGCTCTGAG